CGGCGGCTAGTAAAGCGCCCAAAACGCTGGCTTGCATCCATAGATGCTTCTCAAGCAAATCCCGGGACGTCATTCTCCCCTTGTACTTGGCCTTAGTGAGGCCGCAGCTGGAGTACTGTGTCCAGTTTTGGGCTCCACAATTCAAAAAGGATGTGGAGAAGCTTGAGAGAGTCCAGAGAAGAGCCACGTGCATGATCAGAGGTCAGGGAAGCAGACCCTACGATGACAGGCTGAGAGCCCTGGGGCTCTTTAGCCTGAAAAAGCGCAGGCTCAGGGGTGATCTGATGGCCACCTACAAGTTTATCAGGGGTGACCACCAGTATCTGGGGGAACGTTTGTTCACCAGAGCGCCCCAAGGGATGACGAGGTCGAATGGTCACAAACTACTTCAAGATCGTTTCAGGCTGGACATAAGGAAGAATTTCTTTACTGTCCGAGCCCCCAGGTCTGGAACAGCCTGCCACCGGAGGTGTTTCAAGCGCCTTCATTGAACACCTTCAAGATGAAACTGGATGCTTATCTTGCTGGGATCCTATGACCCCAGCTGACTTCCTGCCCTTGGGCAGGGGGCTGGACTCGATGATCTTCCGAGGTCCCTTCCAGCCCTAATGTCTATGAAATCTATGACAACTTTCTGATGGACACCATTTCATAGTGGTCTGAATTTTTGCCTTGAAAGCCAGCCTAAGTAATGATTTTCTTGGTTTCTCTTCTTTCTATTTATATCTGCATGCCTCACGGGGTGCTGGTACATGTGTGAGGATGCTGCTCTGACACGCTGTAATGACAGTGCTTCGGAGCAGACTTGATTAATCGAGTCTGCTGGAACATGCTAATTAGTGCGCTCCAGCAGCCTTTACGTCTCGTGTATTCATCTTCCCTGCACTTCAAAATGGTGATGTGGGTCCTTTAACTAAAACTTGTTTAGAGTCATCATTTTGAAGTGCGGGACACTGAATAAACAAGTTAGGGTGCTCTAATTAATGTGGGTGCTCTAATTAATGAGAGCAGCTCCGAGAGCTGCTCTAAAGTACCCCCCTCCCACCTCCAGAGCACATGTAAAGATGCCCATGATGACTAAATTCCTTCCTGCTCTTTGCAGTCACAGTCTTGTACAGTCTGAAGGATGGTTGTGTGCCTTTTTAGCTCTTGGAGAAGCTCTTGCATTCCTTCCTCATATTAATTCATCCCTGTGATGTTCTACAGACAGGGCCAGTTTCTAAGTAAATTGCAGATATACTTACAGCACCATGATTTGAGCCCTCATCCCTCAGTTCCAAAAGCCTGAATCTCTCTTGGCTGAGCTGCAGGAGAGCTTCTTAGTCAGTGGTAGTAATGGGTACTTTACCTGTTCTTTAAGTCAGCCACCACAGGGTGGTAATGCATACAAATAGCCAAGTAAGACCATTGGTCATTTTGTTCTCTGAACACCCACCTGTTTGTTGGCTTCTGGTGTTGAGAGGGCCAAAACCAACCCCCAGGTTCTCCAGGGTGGGCCAGAAGAGAAGGGAACAACAACTCTCTGCCCAAGAGTCTTTGCTGCTGCAGTCCCAGATAGGACTGACTGCTTTGTTTTGTTGGTTTATCACAAACAGCTCAAATCTAATTTGTTTTGGGCCCATACCCTTAATGCTTCTCTTTCCCAACTATTTCCTTTATGTGGGGGTGCAAGTTTGTTTTCCCCCTGCCCCTAACTGCAGTAATTTCTACATTTAAAGATTTTGAGGCCAGTCAGCTCAATTTCCAACAAAGCCACTTGATGATACCAAATGTGTGTTTCTTGTTCACAGCATGTCTCACTGATGGAGTCTGAAGAGACCAGTGAGGGAGGCCTGGCTTCCCCAGGAACCAGCAGCCCCAGGAAAGAAAGCCCTGAACCTCTGCTATCCAGAAGGGGACAACATGCCACCACTGTCACGATGTGCACTGGGCTTTCTGCCTCTGCCCTCATTCCCCAGGACCCTGTGAGCCTCCTTTCTGCTGAGGAAGCAGCAGAGATGTGGGACAAATCCCCCAACCCTGTGGAAGAAGTACCAGAACCAGAGGAGGGAGATGTCAGGCACTGGGAAGGGCTCCTGGAGCGGGAGGGAGATCCTACAGTACTAGAGACGACTCCACTGGAGAAGGAGAAATGGGTCCAGCCTTTGAACTCTGACCAGGGAAAGTTAGCTCACCCTGAAAGCAGCCAGTATTCTTCCTCTCCCAACCCAGTTGTGGAGGTGCCAAGCTCTACCCTAGACACCCATGTTAAATTTCCTCAGGACCAGGCACAGGCCTGGGCATCTCTTGATGCTGTCCCCCAGGTACAGCATGAGGAAAGCTCTGCGGCAGAAACTGTTTGTGATCAGAGGGAACCAGCCACCAAACGTTTCCTGGTGTGTAAGACCATTTCAGAGGGTTGTTACAAGACTGAGCCTTTGCATGATGGTATTATGAGGAAGCCCCTGAAGCAGACAGAGGCCGTAAGTGGGATCAGCAAAGATTCTTTAGCAAGGGCAAAAGATGTGATAGGTGAGGACCCTTTTCCTGGGACAGAGACAGTGGGCAGGATGACACCCAAGCCTTGTATGGATAATGGTGACAAGGGCCAAGAATTCCAGGGAGGGGAAGAGCCTTCCTCTCCACATCACCCACCTCCCACTTTCTCGGGGAACAGCCAGGGAAAGACACAGTTGACTGGGGAAAACACAGAAGGAGAGATGACCCTATCCCCCTGTGAGAGAGGGAGCAATTCTTCAATCTCAGATCAGGGAGTGGAAATGGTTTCTAAGCAAAGTCCCTCTGGTCCTATAGAACCCTGCCCCCCAAAGGAGGAGGAAGACCATGGTAGAGTAGGAGGCAGCAGCACTGAATCACCAAGACAAAGCATCTCCCAAGCAAAGACTGCTGCAGAAAATATGGAAGAAGTGGATGAGTCCCAGCATGAGGAGCCAGAGCCAGAGCAGGGGGAGACGAAAGAGAAGCCTAAACTGAAGCAGACAGAGCTGGAGGAGCAAATGCTGAAAGAGGAGCAGCAGCTTGATATGGACTTACCAGAACAGGAGTTGGAAAATGAGGAGGATGGGGGATGGAATAAAGTGGGCCAGGAGCCAGGGGGGGAAACAGTGGAGATAGAGGCTTCACTGCAAGTATTGAGTCCAAGGACACATTCAGTCTCCCAGCCCAAAGTGGATCTCCACAGTTTGGGAGACAGCATTTCTTTGGCTGAGGGGATAGGACCAGCCCTTCCTTCTGAGGAACCTGTCTCCCAAGGGCAGCCCCTGGGTGAGGGTATATTGCCAAAGGCCTGTGCACAAGCCCAGCCACCTGAAGAGGTGATGTCTGGCTATCTGAGCCCCATGAGCAAGAGTCCCCTGACACATTCCCACACCTGCCACATCTCTGAGCAACTGGAAGGCCTAGGGATCTCTGGCACTTCTAGCTGCATTTCTATTAGCAGCCAAGACCATGGAGAAACCACTCAGGATGACAGAACCAGAACCAGCAACAGCAAAGACTGTCACTGCAATGGAGACAGGCCAGATCAGAGCTTTGCTGATGGAGGAGATATGCCCTTCAGTGGAGAAGCAATATTCTCCAGAGGTGCAGAGAATCTGGACTCTCCCAGGCCCATGCATCTTTTTTCTGATGCTAAAAAGGTAGAGTCACCTGGCCCTACAGATCCCCATCTTGTTGCAGAAAGCCCAGAGATTCCCGGACATCAGGATCTCACTCCAGCCTCACCCTCAGATCTCAGCTTGGCAGCAGCATCCACTGATCTAACTCAGGAGGATGGTGAGAAAAGAGCTGACCAAACTGAGCAGGAGATGACTAAGCAGGCTTCCTGTCCACTGGACACGGTGCCTGGTGAAGGAGCCCCAGCATCTGCCAGCACAGTAGATGCCCAGACTCCCCAGAGGCTGGTTACCTCTGACAAAGCCCTTCATGAAGAGCCTGGCACCCAACCTTCCTTCTCCGTGGTTTCCAGAAATCCCCCCTCTGGGCAGAGCCCGACCAAGGATGGCAAGTGCACAGAACCCACCCCTTCCCCTGCAGATTTGGTGCCCCTGGAATCACCCCAAACACTAGATGGGGCTCCTGCACCATTGACCTATCAAGAAAACCTCCAGCAGCACCAAAAGTCACACTCCAGAAGCTTTGTTTTCCAGGGAAAGGAAACAGGAGCAAACATGGATCATGCAGTACAACATAGCCCTTCACTAGATCAGTCTCATTTGAGCCCAGACTTGGAAGAGGCTATATCCAGGACCCTCGAGGCCCCAAACACTGTCTTCCAGCCCTCTGAAGAAACAGTGGTCTTTGCCATGGACCAGCAAGGACAGCCACCATCTCCAGTGCATGACACCAGCCTTCCCCTAGCTCCTGACCCTGATGTTACCCCACTTCCCCAGCCTCCATCCCATGTGACTGACTCTACCCAGTCCTCAGCCCTTGAGTCTGATACCAGCCCCCCCGCCCTTATACTTGACACTGACCCACCGTTGCTTCCCATACCCAGGTCCAATCCATCTCTAGCCTATACACCAGACTGTGACCACTTACCAGGCACTGCTCCCAGTGCCAGTCACCCCACACAAACTGTAGTCTCTGTGCCTGAGAACGACAACCTTGCTTTGGCCTCTGACTCCAACAGAGATGGAGTGGAGAAGCAGCCCCTCATGACCAAGAAAGAGGAGATGATGAAGCTCCATCAAGATTTCAGGGACTCAGAGACACAGGATGTGGGGACCACCAGTGACTTGCAGGCAAGCCTGTTGGCTAGGAACTCAGATTTTCCAGTGTGTGGAAATGAGGTCTCAGAGGTCTGCTCTGATGACAGCCGTGCAGCTATGGAGATGCACGATGGAAAATCCCCCCCAGACTGTCCCCCCAGGGCCTTGCCGAGAGCCCAGAGAACACCTACAGACTCTTTGCCCAGAAATTTGGTACAGCCACTTCCAGCCCTAGCATTCACCAACCCAATCCATTTTCTCCAGTTCAGCCCTCCATCTCCACCAACCATCAGGATCCTGTACCGACAAAAACCGGTCATGGAGGAGCCATTGTGGGACCAACAGCTGGCTAGCACCATTGGAGAAGATACCAGGAGCACTCCCACCCCTGTTGCCATTATGAAGACAGCAGAGGGTATGAGGCCATGCAGACATAAGCTGGTCGGTCAGGGAGAGCTGCTCCCCTCGCTGGCCCAGCAGGCAGAGGAAGTAACTAGGCACATGCCCTTGGAAAAGTCATCGAGTTGTCCAGAAAAAAAAGTCATCAGGGTAGAGGTACCAGAGCAGAAAACCCTGGTTAAACTCCGAGCAAAAAGCAAAGATTGGCACCGGCAGGGCCTGAAGCGGGTCTCGGAATTGCCAGACAGCTTGCACCATGGTGAGTTTCCTCTTCCTTCTCCTCCCTCCTATGCCCCCCGAATGCTAATCCCAGTATGACAGTTGTGAGGGGTTGAGAGCACCTATCAAAAATGTTTGGCTGACCCCACCATAAGTATTACCCCCACACAGCTGTGCAAGTGCATCCCAGTCCTGCCCTGTCACACTCTCTGCTAGCCCAGTCCTGGATTCCCCACAGCTCTGTTAGTGCTCCCCAGTCCTGCCCTCCCCCTTCTACCACCAACCCTGCTCTCTGGTCTGAGCAGCAAACACCAACTGCACACCCAGCTCCTATTCATCTCTCCCCGTTCTCTGTCCAGCATATCCTCCCACACTCCCTTCCCCGCCTTCTTCACTTCCTTCTTCCCACGCCTGCCCGCAGTCAGAGCTCCGGCCCTGTTCCTTTATATGCAGTCCTCCCACTCCTGCTTCACAGGAGATCATTATATGAAATGTAGAGATCCTCATCACATCATTTACTGCCACCGGGTGGCCATGCCATTTCACTGCAGTCAGAGCAATAGGCCAATGTTAAGGAAATACAGGTTTCCCTCACTTTACGCTGTACATGTGTTCCTGGAAAATGAATAACTTAAATTTGCATAAAGGAAACCCACTTTACAATGTGACAGATAGGGATAGTTCCAAGACCTCAACTGTACTGACCCCGACGCCCATTTTATCACTTTTACAAGACAATTTTGGTAGTTACCAACAGCAGACAGTACACACAAGCACAGCTGCAGTGCCAGAAGCGCGGGCACCAGCTTCCCTGAGCAGTGGCTGCAGGTGCTGCTGCCAGGCAGCTTCATGGTTCCCGGCTCCCAGGGTGCCGTGCTGATGGGGCCGGACTGGGCCAGGCTGCAGGGGCCAGTGGTCCAGCCTGGCTCTGGCACCACTACCCAGCTCAGCCTCCCCACCCCCCACCCCCCCCAAATTTTTTTTTTCTTCCTCTGCTTATGGTGTCACTATCGCAAAGCAGCTGACTGCGGGCTTCCATCACACTGATTGCATGAGTGAATTTACCTCACGTATAACGAATTTTTGGTATAAAAAGGGTCATCGCATAAGAGCGAATTTGCACATACAGAACCCGCATAAAACAAGGAAAACCTGTAGTGCACATGCTTCCTAACAGTGAGAGCAATACAGCTGGTGAGATTTCAGATATCCTGTCCTGCATGCTGTTGCTTTTCACAGACAGTCTGAGAGCTGTTTAGTGTAATCTGGGCCCCTTCAGGTCCCATACTGAAGGGATGTTTCACAACAGTACAGTTTGAGACATGTCAGAACATTGATCTGTCATAGCTCAAACCCTGATTTGGGCAGAAACTACAAACTCATGACTTAGTTACAAGTCTAAATCTTCCAACATCCCAGTAGCCCAGTGGGGCTCAATCTCCTGGCCCAACAAGCCAAAGGAGTGGCCTAGAGCCCATCTGCAGGCTAGATTGGGCCCTAGGGCCTGGCACCACTCCTTTCCTGCCCATCACATCAGTACTGAGTCCTAGGGAACTAGTGCCGCCCACTTCCACCCTTTGTGCCAGGATTGGATCCTCTCCCAGCCCCCCACACTGAGATTGGGCTCTGGGGCTCAGTACTACCCCAATCTGGTTCTGTGCATTGGGATCAGGTGCCGGACCCAGTGTTCAGGGCCTAAAGCTCCTCGTGGGTCTGGAGATCTGGCAGCAGGGGAGTAGAGCTACTGCTGCCAGGTGACGCAGTATGATTGTCCAGATCTTGAGCAGCCTTGCACTAGCCAATAGGGTATCTATCTTGTCTGCGGGAAGTTGTGTGGCCATTGCCGTTATCTTATAGAACCAGACGTTTTGGCTGTGTGAAAGTCATAGCTTGCTGGACAAAACTTTTTCCCCCTCAATTCATTTTGTATTTTTTCTTTCACATTCTGCAAGCATTGGGATTCAGGGAAATGGCCATACATTTGAACCAAAATGGCTTCCAATATTGCAAACTCATCAATTTTTATCTTTGAAATGGAAGGAGCAACAATAGTCTCCTCCCCAGCCCCATGCACTACACTCTTTAGAGTTCTCTGCTTACTCACCTTTACTCTGTGCCCGCTTTCCTCAGTATTTAGTGAAGTCTCTAGCACAGCTGTACCAAAAAAGGCAAATATTTTCCCCATTTTAAAGAGGGAGAAACTGTCTGAAAGAGTGCATGTGTGAGTGCTTACGTGCAGTTTCCAGATAGGTCACCCCTGTAGGCTGCATCCAGATCAGTAGAGATTCTGGTTTCCTCCGATTTAAAAAAAAAAATCCCCAAATTTTGGATTAAAAAAAGTAACCCACAAATCCACATTTTTCCATTATTAAAATGAAACACTTTTATATATATAGTGTACAAGCCCAGCCACCTGAAGAAGTGATGGCTGGAGACCTGAACTCCATGAGCAGGAGGCCCCTGACACAGTCCCACACCTGCCACATATATAGAGAGTGTGTGTGTGTGTGTGTATTATAGTGGTGTTTCATTTTAATCATGGAAAAATGTGGGTTTTGGGTTACTATTTTTAATCTGGAAATTGGGAATTTTTTTTATCAGAGAAAACCAGGATCACTGCAGATCACACAGCTTCTCATGAGGCAGATGATCCACCTCTGGCAGTGGCTTATCAGTGCAGCTACACAAGCTGCTGTATTGGTACAGCTCCAGAATCCAACGGTGATCATCGCTGTTCTGCCCACCCAACCCCCTTTTCCCCTGATGCTGATTTGAGTCAACAGGTGCAACCAAAGACCCTGAAAGGGATGATGGGGTGAATGGCAGGGGTGTTCACCCCCTGCGTGCTGGAGGCATGCTGACTAGTCCTGCAGGCTGCAGGTTAACCTCTCACAAGCTGTATATGGTTCTCAGGCCACTGGTTGGACATCTCTGCACTAGACCTGCAGCCCTGCAAGTCTGCATGAACCATTTTTGAGAAGTGTTGAGGACTCACACCCATAGTTAGTCCTCATGGGAAGCCTGTGGGAAGTCAGTATCTCTAAACATCAAACCTAAGAAGTAACTATTTCTACTGGGGCTTCAGTTTTTGTTTGCCCACCAAAACCAGTCTCTGGCTAGTGATTTGGCCTTCCTGGGGAGAGGGTGGGGAAAACAATCCACAACTCAGGCAATCAAAGCCCATGATGCCCAGAGTCCCTACAGAAAAGTGTAGGGCTTTCCTTCATTTGTTGGGCTATAGATGTGTCTGTCATAATGCTTAGTTAGTGAACCTTGTGTGTATGTAGGTGCCAAGGATTATTAAAGCCAGGAAGTTTCAGAGCCAATGAGCTCCAGCTGAGTGGAGAAGCCTTGCTCTTTGAAGTAAAAGCTGTAGCTGGGCAACTCATGTTTCATTTGACCACCTGCTGCAAATCAAGCAAGTTGTGAACCACCTGGATATGAATGATCCAGCTTCCACTGTATTACCTGGGCTGGGCCATGTTGTTAAGGCTGGCTCTGTGCCATGTTGCTCTGCTTGTCTTGCTTGCAGCAACCTCTCTTGTCTTTTCAGAGGAGGAAGCACACAGAGTCCAGCCAGTCAGCTCAGAAACCGTTCTGTTCCGGTGAGTCTTCCACAGGCCTCTGTGCTTCAAGCCACTGTCCCCTTATTTTTTGAGCCTGAGGGCCACTTAGGGAGTTTTGATGAGCTGTTGTGGGCTGGGTCAGTACCCCATGCCTCTGCCACTACAGCTCACCAAAACTCCCTAAGTGGTTGTGCTCTGTGCTTGGCCAGGTGGCTGGGTTGGAGCTGTGGGTGTCTGGGCAGTGGCATTCAGGAGCAGGATATGTGAGCAATGCTGGAATTGTGGGGTGGTGACAGCGTGGGGCTGGGACCCAGGGCAGAGCTATGATCTGCTCCCTGCCTGCCCCTGCCCACCAAACCGGCACCTATTGCAGGGATGTTCAGGGAATGGATTGCAGCTCTGCCCTGGGTCCCAGCCCCATGCTGTCATAGCCCCACAATCCCAACCCCACCTGCCCATCCTATTCCAGACACCACTCCCCTCCCATCCACAGCCCCATCCCATCTGCCAGGCTGTGAGACCTGCCCATGTAGGTCCCAGCCCCCCAGCGGTGGGTTCAGGGCAGGTGGTCTGGGGTGCCCAAGAAGCGGGGCTGGGTCCAGCAGTGGCAGCTGGAAGGAGCTGCCATGCCACCCCATTCCCACTGCACGCCTCAGGGTAGCAGGACCGACTGCATGCACTACAACCTGGGCTGCCCTCCACACCTGACTTGGGTGGGACTGAGGAGCCCACTGCAAGCCATACAAAATCACTTGGTGGACTGGATCAGGACCATGGGCCAGATTTTGGCCACTCCTGCCTTACGCCAAGGAGCGATTCTTAAGGGGCCGAAAAACAAGGTGGGAGAGTAGAATGCTCTCTTATGCAACGGCCCAGGCCTCAACTTCATCTTGTGCAGTGGGGACCTCTGTCCCCAAGAGGCAGGAGAATTTGTGTCTCCTGACTGCCAGATTTTCATCATGGCAATTATGGCCTGGGCAGTCACAGTAAGAAATACAGGCCCCAAGACTGGCAGAGTGAGAAGTCGTGGTTGTACCAGACAAGTTATTGACATCTGGATAAGTCACACCCCATGCAGCATTTCTCCCTGTCTCCTGCCCCCTTTGCTTACCAAATCTTCTCTTCCCCAACAGGGAGAAGAAACCCATAGACACAAGGGAACAGTTCAGGCACCGACATTCAAAACTAATCAACTCCTGTAAGTACCTCCTGCCTAAGTGCTGGGGCTGAAAACCCCAGTGAGCTTAATTGAGAGGGGCTCCAGGGCCTCTTATTAGAGGGGAGTGAACAGAGAAGGCAATATAACCTGTACCCTGCAATGTGATCAGAGATGTGGTGAGTTATGCTGGTGACAGGAGCATTTTAAACAGCACAGGCCTAGACATGTTCATCTCTTAGACTAAGAGACAGTAGTAGAACGCTCTCCTCATAGGGAGATTAGAGGGAAGGGGGGAAGTCTCTGTTTTAGCGTGTATGTGACTTGCAGCTGTCTCTCCACAGCAAGATTACTCTACCAGGAGTACAGTGACGTGGCTCTGAACAAAGCAATTCAGAGCCAGAAGAGAGCTGATTCTTTGGCAGAGGACATAGAACTGAGCTCTCCCAACTCCCCAAGGTTACGGAGGAAAGTGCTCTCTCCACAGGACTCGTATCTGCAGCGCCTCTCTGTTTCGTCCAATGCATCTCTCTGGCAGGACATCCCCATGGTCCGAGGGAGCAGGATGCTAATGAACATGTCCCGTGAAGATCAGAAGCTACAAGAGGTACGGGAGGAAGGCTGGAGACAGGTGGGTGGGGAAATTTGCCAGGGAGGGCATCACAGGGAGATGGATGCATTTGATAGCAGGAAT